ATTAAACCTTATTTTCAATAAGCAATCCTGAAAAATATTTGGGGGTGCTTAACTTTTTTCCAGGTGTATAGTTGCCACGTTATATTTCTTTTGAAGAACATTTCTGTTCCACTAAAGTTGGATATTACAGTCAAACCCATGCATTGATATTCAATGGGGTAAATCGAGTTCATCATGCGTAATATGCATTTGTTTTTTATATTTGCATTTCACTTAACGATGTTTTGCACTAACCGTTTGGTGAGAAATCGTCTGAGTTTAAGGTAATCGTGCTTTTTCTCTGTGAACATTTAAAACGTATCCCACAAAAAATATCTGGGTGTACCACAGATCCAACAGTCTAACCGCAGACTACGTAAATTAATAATAATTTCTAATTAAAGCAAGCTATCTACATAGATCGGAAATAAAAATATATACCTAGTAATAACCATACCTAGTTAAATTGTTTATTTAAAAAAAAAAAAGAGTTAGTGGTGATCTGCTTGTGGTGTTTAAAATTGTTAACGAAACTGATATTTTGATACATCATCTTTTTAGTACTTAATGATGAGAATTCTAGGACTAGAGAGGCACAAATATTAATTTTGGCAGGGTCATCTTCAGGTAAAACAATTTTATTTTTGTAACAAAGTGGTTGGTCTTTGGAATGTGTTTCCTTCAGATGTGGTAGATGCATTTAATTTAAGGGAGCTTAAGGGAAGTCTTGATGAATATTTCAATGATACAGTCTAGCTTTGAGTGGTTTATTTTTAAAGCTTAGTTTAGTGGATGTGATGGCTAAAATGGACCAATAGGTCCCTTGTTGTCTTTACATTATATGTATATATACTACTTATAATGATTAGAATGTTTTATTTCATCAGTTAGGTATTCTAAGTACAGAGGAAAACAAGTAAAGAAGTCAAATATAAACGGAAGAAAATAACCAAAATCAGAAAGTTCCAGAACACTTAATCTCATTACATTATTCTTAAATTTTACATGAACCAGCAACCTACGGATTGGAAATCAAAGTCGGCTGACGATATTCAAATCGTAAATATTGTGTTTTGTTCTTTGTTAAGAGATATAGCAGTATGGGTGAAGCTCACTTGTGAGTATTTCGGTGTCCACAATGATTAAAATTAAAAACAACATTTGTCAGAAAATAACGAGAATGCAATATCATACACTTAAGTTAAGCTATCTTGCACTGCAGAGCTTATCTCTAAGAAACATTTCTCTTGATTAACATAAAAAGACTTATCTTTGAAAGCTATTTCTGGACAATGGGAGAGTTAGATTAATGAAACGATAACTTTAAGAGAGCATTTCGAAATGAATGGTTCAATAATTTCTTAAAGTTCAGTAATCTTAGATACTATCCGTTCTTCGAACATATTAACTGACAGATTACATAAAACTGTGGTTAATCACTAGATGACAGTGGATTAAAAGCAATATTTAAGAATTACTGTGTTATATTTTGAATACAACACTCATTTCGAAACCATAAAGGTGTGTTATTGCTCTTATTAAGTTACTTCAAGCCTTTATCAAATAACAGTAGTATGTACATATTAGATATAACTTTTAAATAATGTTGTCTTACGTGGAGGAAAGTATTAGCAATTCACAAAATGTTCCTATTTTAAGTAAATTGTTTAAAGTTGTCAAATTTCGCAACCATCGTTTTTTTTATATATATAAAGAAATTGTTTTTGAGTTAAACTTTGAAATAAAAATAATAAAAATTCGTAATGAAACAGTTTATTTGATATTTATTTAACAATCATTTATTATTAACACAAAAATCAAAGAAAAAGTAAAGTAATTTTATATACGTACGTATTAAATTTTATTTTTCAATTTCAGTGTCTCACGTTATGCTTACAACTTAATTGTTTCACAGAAAACCGCTGAAGATAGATTATGTGTAGGCAAAAATGTCCGAATTATTTATTTATGCAAATTTACGATCTTCTTGGTCAAATTTATGTTCCCTGCAAATGAATCCACTGCCAGCATTTGATTCACATTATATTTTTGGTATTGAATAACAGGGGCTACATTTTTGGTATGATGTAACATATGCTACGCTTTTTTATATTATACGAAAATGCCATACTCTTGATATTCTGTAATAAATGCCACACATATATTTTTTTTTTGTAATCTGTAATGAATTCTAAACCCACAATATTGTACCTCTGTATAACATGTTAAATTTGATATTCTATAAAAGATGTCACATACTTGGTAATATCCAAAAGATGCTACATATTTGGTATTCCATACTAGGTGCTACTGTCGTGATATTATATAACATATTTTATTTCTCCTGCAAAAAAGAAAAATACCTGGGTGTACAACAGATCTAACGGTCTAACCACAGACTTCATAACTTAATAACAATTTCTGTTTAAAGCAAGTAACCTGCATAGATCATAAATAAAAATGTAACTCGTAATGAGCATTACTACTTAAATTGTTCAGTCTTCAAAAAAAGAAGAGTTAGCGGGGATTCGACTGAAATGTTTGAAAAGAGAATTGATAGTGTTTATGCGTTATTATATCTTTTTTCATACTTAATGACGAGAGAGGTAGGACTAGGGAAAAAATATATAGTTTGGTATGGTAGGAGTCATCTTAAGCTAAGGCAGTTTTATTTTTCTAACAGGTTGGTTGGCGTTTGGAATGGGTTGCCTTCAAATGTGCCTTCAAGCTATTTCAGTATCGTACATAGTGCTTACATATAAATATTATGTAATACTTATATATTAATATTATATATAATATAGTTATATATAATAATGTAGTATCTGTTATATATTTCTAAGTGTTTAGCATCTGTCATATATACCTTATACCAAGAATGTAGCATCTGTCATATGAAACTAATATATATATAAACATATAACCTAACTAGCCTATTGTCCAAAAATGTCTCTCAAACATACGATCTTTTATTTTTTTTAAAGAGATATTTCTTCGACATAAACTCTGACTGTGAGAGGTAGTTTAATTTAAGTGTATAGAATTCTGTGGTCGTTGTTTCCTGACACAACATATTAAATTATATAATACACTCTTAGTATTTCGTAACAGATTCCTCACTTATGGTGTTATATGACACATCCCACACACTTTATAATATATAATAGATGCTACATTATTAGTAATATATAGTAGTTGCTACAATCTATGTATTATGTAACAGATTCCACACTTGGTACTATACAACAGATGCTATATTCTTGGTAATACGTAACAGATGCTACAATATTTTTTTTATAACAGATGATACAATCTTTTTTTACAGCAGATGATACATTATTGGTATTACGTAACAGACGCCACACATTTTGTAGTGTGCAATAGCTACCATATTCTTGGTAGTCTATAAAAAATGTCCCACTTTCATTCTTCTTTTATATTTTGTAACGGACGCTACGTTTTTGGTAGTCTA